GATTTACAGTCCTTATCTCCACAAGTGAAAGATTAACCCTTTTCTATATGGATTCAATCAAATTATCTTATCCTCACCCTCTACTGCATGACTCCCTCTACTGTTTTCCCTTGTCTCCAGCAACCTCTGATTAGTATTGAGAATTCTCCAAGCTGAAATTTAAAAAATTAAAGCAGAGCACTCTTTGCTTCAAAAAGTTTTTTTTCTTCCTGTAAATTGTGTTTGGTAAACACATAGTTGTCTACTATGTTTTTGATTTCTGTGTTTAGTATTATGCTGAGTCTCATTTTCTTTATCACTATAGCAGTTAAGAATTGGGTATTTAATTTCAATCTTCATATATCTCACAAGGTGTGAGAAAATTAGTCTGATATAATGATTAAGGTATTGGCCTGGAATCAGAGAATCAGATTCAAAGTCATCTTCAGCCCTGGCAGCTCACCGGCAGTCACTTTGGGCCAATATTCTCTCTCATCTTAACCAACCTCACAGAGTTGTTGTGTTGGGAGACTAGGAGGAGACAACATTATATATCATGAGTTATACAGAAGAAAGATGGGAACCTAAACTCTTCTCATACTGGCACTAGAGTGTGAATGCCAGGGGAGACCTTTTGGAAAGTAGGTAGTAGCAAGAACTACCAAGCTACTACTGTAAAGCAGGAGGCAGGATCAGGAGGGGAAGATCTAGACCAGCGGTTCTCAACCTGTGGGTCGCGACCCCTTTGGGGGTCGAACGACCCTTTCACAGGGGTCGCCTAAGACCATCGGAAAACACATATTTCCGATGGTCTTAGGAACCGAGACACCGCTCCTCTATCCGTCTCCAGGCAGGTCCGCCCACATGCAAATACGCCCACATACGAGTACCCGGCGTGAGGACATCATCGCACCAACCCCATCAAATACACCCCGTACAAATACGGGTGTATGTGACAGGGTTGGTGCCATAATGTACTTATGCGGACCAGTCACACATGTGTAGAGAGCAGCTACTGTGTAGAAAGCAGCTGTGTTGAAAGCAGCTACTGTGTTGAAAGCAGCAGTATTGGAGGTAAAACGATACTTCATGAATTATAATTACTGGGTAAATGTAAAATCGTGTACTGTAAAATCACCAACTACTACAAAAAAAAATATCTGTACCATGGGAACTTAATCTGGATGCTGATCGGTCTTTTTGTATTCAGCTGTGGTTGATGTGAATACTGCCCCCTTGTGATAGTAACAGGTATGTAAAAAACAACAACACAGAGAATGGTAAATCATAGGAAACTTTAATGAACTGTATTGACTGAACTATGCCACGTATCATCTTTTGTATTATTAAAGCTATTGTTATATATTATTTTTATTAGCAAACCATCCCATGACAATGGATCGTGTAGAGAAGAACGTTAAGAAAAGAAAATATAGTGAGGATTTTTTACAGTATGGTTTTACCTCAATAATTACAGCAGGAATTGAGAAACCGCAATGTGTTATTTGTTGTGAAGTTCTATCAGCTGAATCTATGAAGCCGAACAAACTAAAACGCCATTTTGATAGCAAGCATCCGAGCTTTGCCGGCAAGGATACCAACTATTTTAGAAGCAAAGCTGATGGACTCAAGAAAGCCAGACTTGACACTGATAGCAAGTACCACAAACAAAACGTAGTAGCCGTTGAAGCTTCATATTTGGTGGCATTCAGAATCGCCAGAGCTATGAAACCTCACACCATTGCTGAGGATTTACTGTTGCCAGTGGCCAAAGACATTGTTCGAGTTATGATCGGAGACGAATTTGTTACAAAATTGAGTGCAATTTCCTTATCTAANTGATGTATTTGACACAGTTGGTTCATTTCTGAAAGAGCATAAGATCTCTTGGGAAAAGGTTTGTGGTGTTTGCACAGATGGTGCTCCAGCTATGCTAGGATGTCGATCTGGATTTCAACGTTTGGTACTGAATGAGTCACCAAAAGTCATCGGAACTCACTGTATGATTCATTGGCAAATATTAGCAACAAAGACGCTGCCACAAGAGTTACAAGAAGTAATGAAAAGCGTCATACGTTCTGTCAATTTTGTAAAGGCAAGCAGTTTAAACAGTCGACTGTTTTCGCAACTGTGCAACGAGTTGGATGTGCCGAACAATGCTGTGCTATTTCACACTGAAATGAGATGGTTGTCGAGAGGAAACATTTTAAAACGTGTTTTTGAGCTTCGTGATGAACTCAAAACATTTTTTAATCAGAAAGTAAGACCGCAGTTCGAAGCACTTTTCAGCGATAAAAGTGAACTGCAGAAAATAGCTTACTTGGTTGACATCTTTGCCATCTTGAATGAGTTAAATTTATCACTGCAAGGACCAAATGCAACGTGCCTCGATTTGTCTGAAAAGATCCGATCATTCCAAATGAAACTTCAGCTTTGGCAAAAAAAATTGGATGAAAATAAAATGTACATGTTGCCTACCTTATCTGCTTTCTTTGAGGAACATGACATTGAACCAGACAAAAGGATTATGATGATAATTTATGTGAAAGAACACTTGCACATGCTTGCAGACGAAATTTCATCGTACTTTCCAAATCTACCTGACACCCCATTTGCACTTGCCAGAAGCCCATTCACAGTCAAAGTTGAAAATGTTCCTGAGACAGCACAAAAGGAGTTCATTGAACTTGTTAACAGCGATGCAGCGAGAACTGATTTCTCTACAATGCCAGTTACAAAATTCTGGATCAAGTGTTTGCAGTCATATCCTGTTCTGTCTGAGACTGTGTTGCGCCTTCTTCTTCCATTTCCAACAACATATCTTTGTGAAACAGGGTTTTCCAGCTTGTTGGTTATCAAGTCTAAATACAGAAGTAGACTTGTTGTGGAAGATGATTTTCGTTGTGCTCTTGCAAAGACTGCCCCGAGAATTTCTGATCTGGTGAGAAAGAAGCAATCTCAACCTTCGCACTGATGTTGGCTTTTTACGCATACTGTCGCAAAATGTAGCAATGTAGTTTACTGTTGTAATATTAAGACTGTTACCCATGCTACACCATGCTTCAAGACAAAATTTCATTTATTTGTAATTAGAAATAAATATTTCACAATATATAATTACATATTGTTTTTGTGATTAATCACTATGCTTTAATTATGTTCAATTGTAAAAATGAAAATACATCCTGCCTTCTCAGATATTTACATTAGATTCATAACAGTAGCAAAATTACAGTTATGAAGTAGCAACGAAAATAATTTTATGGTTGGGGGTCACCACAACATGAACTGTATTAAAAGGTCGTGGCATTAGGAAAGTGATTCTAGATTCTAGACAGTTCCTGGGAGAAAGTAGCCTTCCACCCTATAGTCCTTGGTTGAGTTTAGGTTAAAACAGGAGGAATCATTTTTAGTGCAGGGATTAAATGCAGTCATGGATCCCCCTCAGATTGCACCGTTGAACTTTATGAATGTTTAAATGGCTTGTTCGAGCCAATGTGATCAGGTGTTTGTAGTTCAATCTCTTATTCACTAGGGTACATTGGCTCCTGTGTTAAGAGTGTTCCTTCAGGTGACATTTCTGTAGATTCTGTGTAAAAATAATGCTAAGAGGGCAAAATAAATGTGTGCTTTTAAAAAGGCAAGCACAAAAATATTCCTGCAATCACATCTGCCTACTTTTTATTGCAAGGGGAAAATATACCATATATATAGCACCAGTCTTTATGCTCATGTATTCCATAGACTTCACTAAAATTTAGTTGCCGGTAATTAGGTATGAATGTAGCTGTAAAATATTTATATTAATATAATTACCAAGTAGAAAGTGGGAAAATAGTATTACGGGCCAGCTGATAGAGCTATAAGATGGATTCATAACTGGCTAAATGACTATTTTGGCAAGAATAGTCATAAATGCTCCATATCACATTAGAGAGTACGGTAGATTGCCAGAGAGCATAATCCAGAGCTCGATGTGGTATATTTATATTAATGACCTAAATGAAGGGGTCGTAGGGACGATCATCAGATCTGCAGATGACACAAAATTAGGAATGGATATCACTTTATAACAGAGGAATTTAGAGAAATGGACATCATTTTAAAAGAAAAAGGCAAAATTCAAAAAGTTCTGGACAGGCCTAAACAGTGGGCTTAAACAAACAGGAAGAAGTTAACGAAGAGAAATGTAACATTCTGCATCTGGAAAGAAGAAAGGAAAGAAAGTATTAAATGATGGGAGTTGGATTAGGAGACCTCTTCCAACTTTATGATTCTGTCATTTCAATGGTGCTCAAGATAATTAAATTTATTGAAACAGTCACAACAATCATATTCTAAAACATAAAGAGGAAAATGTACACATTTTATTATGATTTCATTCTTCTCTTTCACTAAGTTCTTATGTTTTGATTTTTGTGGGAGGGAAATTGTATGTGGAGAATCACTGTGGTGAAGTGTTTGAAAAACAAAACTTTTACTTGAAAAGTTCCTGGTTTTGATCTTATAATGGTGACCTTAAATTCAGCCCCAGTTTATCCACCCCACAGTAAAATGTGGGCTTACTGATATTTATGGTACAATACCATGAGAGATCTCTTGCAAATATGTGAGACCCTAGTGTGGAGATATGTTCATATTTTTTTAATCCTAACAGCCAACTATGGTGCTGAAGCTAAAAAAATTAATCAAAAGCCTCAATTCTGGTAGGACAATGTATCACTAATCTGGGCTACCCACAATTCCATCTCTTATTGTGATAGTAAAAATATACATATCACTACTTCTTCCCATTATATGCACCAAAGCATTTACTTCTATAATAAAAGCATTTTTGGTAGCTACATTAAGCAGAAAGAAGAACAAGGAACTATGCTCTGCAGGACTCATTGATGAATAATTTTAGTTGGCTAGTCATATTTATTTTAATTAAATAAGCATTCATCTGTGCATGAACGAAAGCTTTTCCAGGAAAACATGCATGCTTTTCAGATGAAACGTAGCATGTTCTTGTTCTTTAGTGAAAAAACAGAGTGCCTCTATCCTGTGTTTTTTATATGTTCTGGAATTTAGAATTTTCTTAATTTATATTGACTGATTAATCTGGTCAGTTTTATAATACAATTAACCTCATTGACTGATTGTTGCTCAATCTTACAAAAGTTAATTCAGAAATGAATAATTTTGTGTTTATTATGAAAGTGTTTTACAATCCTAATTTAATTCATAACTGAAATAGGACTTGCAAAATATTATATGTTCTTCTGTGGACATTAGTTTCGGTAAATATTAAAATCTCAAAATCCAGATATGTCCATTGATCTGAAATTATTTTTAACTGATCTCTGGTTTTATCTGCTGCTTCATCTATGTTGGACAAGCATTTTTAACCCACACCACCAAAAGTTCTATAGCCGCATATAGGGATTGTAGGGAAAGGATATCATAGAGATGAAAAAAATGCAGAACTGTGGAAAGACATAATTGGGGTGCATACAATCACATCTGCAATGTAGAAAATAGACACGGAGCAATCATGCAATGAAGCCAATTGGCAGAGGATTTAGAATAGAAAAGAAAGCACCTTTACACAGCAAATATTTTGTGGAATTCCTTACCAGAAGATGTCTTGATCACCTCAAATTGTATAGCTTTAAAAGTGTTGGATGTAACTCATGAAGTCAGATCCAATCATGAACTATCAACTTGAGACTCAGTTACTTATCTTCTGGGGAAGCTTGCTTTCATGCCAGTTGCAAGAGGATATCCATGGAAGACGGTTATATCTGTAGCTCTTGCTAGTGAGGACTGTGGTACAGACAGTTGATGGTCCAGTGTAAAAAATGAAATGGTAGACCTTGGCCTTCTCTGGTAGAGCTGTTCTCACATTTTCTTACTCAGCTGCTGTTTAACATACAATATTTTTTTTCCTTCCAGAAAGGGAAGAGAGGTGAGGTCTAGGAAGAATGATGGAAGAACAGAATAGTCATATTACATGATTACCTGAGCTGAATAAGGGATTGAGGTGATATAAGGTAGGCAACTTCTGGAGTTTCAGTGCCATCTTTGGATATAGTAGGCTAGTAGGTGATGAAACCTGTATATTTAAAGATAGCAAGTTGACACTGAAGCTCGAAGATACTGGAAAGCGAGGACAAAGAGTCAGAAAGGAAGAGAAAGTCATAATAAGGGCAGCATGAGCGAATCTATAGCAAACATTCAGAATGAAGTTAAAAGGGAAGACGTTAGTAACTGAAAGAATCAATAATAATGAAATGTATTGTGTGATCTTATGCCTGTTCTTAGCAGACATTAATAAATCTTGGTATAAATAAAATCTCTGCTTTTTTGTGGGGGTTGCTCTTGTGTGGTTACATGGACCACTGGCATTGCTCTCAGGGATGTGCCAACTATTGTAAAATCTCATCATTGCCAAAGTATTCTCTTTAAGTGGAGGAGGAAGAATGTAATTTATGAATCACTAGTCTATTTTTGAAAACCTTGTAGGATTAAATGACTCATAGGTCTCTTTTTAGCTTAAGAAATGATGCTTATATCCAGTTTGTCAAAGACCGAACATTATGATGTTTGATATTCCACTATCATTAAAGCTCACTTGGGCAAGTTTTTCAGACCTCTCGGGAGATGGTTTCTCAGTCTTTTAGTACTTTTAATATGCTCTTATACAACAGTCTTTTTCATCTCTTTTTCAAATGACAGTTAAATATTGGAATTCATTATGGATCATTCTTATCACTTTGTGTAACTTTTGAGAACCAGCTAAAAGCCAGATGCCATCTTGTGTGCATTGGAAATCTCTTTCTATAGCAAATTTCCCATTCTTTCGTTTTTTAGCCACATTGCATGTGAGTCCTCCCAATCCATATTTCTTTATGTATATTTGTAGCAGTTCCTAAACCACTATGAATTTATGAAAGTTTCTGTGATGAAAGTTCTGTTTGGTTACCTAGAGCCACAAAATATGGAGATAGCCATGAGGTTGGCTTTAAAAGGGGTTAGGAGAATTTAATGGAAGACAGGCCTGTCAGGGCTTTCAATTTTCAGGACACAACAGTTATCTGTGGGAAGAGGTATAGCTCCAAATTCTAGTTGCAGGGGACCAGCCACTCTTCCTGTGTTGAATACCCCAGAGGCATCTAGTTGGCCAGTATGAATGAATGAGCTAAGAATGGAAGAAGACAGAGATCTTGCTAAGTCCTTGGAGCTGCAACTCAGAATGGAAGGTAAATAAGCCTCTCTTCGCCTCTGTCCCTCTGCAGAAATTATGTAGCTTGAGGTTAGATGAAGAGCTGAATTAATCTGGAATCTAGGAATGTTTCCAAAGAATATAACCCGGCAAAGAGAAAAAAAACTATATGAATCTTATTAAGCTGTAGTTTGCTTTATTATGTATTATTTACGTCACTGGAGAAGAAGCATATAAATACAATTACTCTATGTTACATTGACTTTTTGTGCTAAACCAAAAAGTTTGCATTTTTTCCTTGAGACTGATATTCTAAGATCATGATTTTATGAAATAAAATATCCCAAGTTTATAGAGGCTTCAAATCTGCATTGCTAATTTCTGCTAGTAGAAAGTGTCCTAACTCATAATGTCCTACTATGCACGAAGAACGATGATTTCCCATGTTTCCCACAAATGTTAGGTCTCTTTTTAGATTCCCCTATCATAGTGTAGCAGCAACTTCCTTTTAACAAGAGCAAGAGTTCCTGGCTACACCAGAGATTTATTTTTAACTAGATTGCTTGTTTAACCTTAAGATTTCATTCCTAAAGAGACACAGAATTCTGATTTCACCAGTTGACATTTTTCTACGTCCAAAACAAGATTTAGTGAAATGTTAATGGCTGATAAAAATGCAGCATTACTGGCTATTCCCCCATTGTTTGGGATGTTAGTTTTTCATATAAAAGGCAGTGCCCTCAAAGTATAAATATTGGTCTAGAAAACATGGACGATGTGTCATACCACAGCTAATATTGATTGCATTCAGTTCAGTTTTACAATTTTAAATATACTTGTTCATTATTTGGGTTAAGTTGCTTTGCAAAAGTTGTGCTACAAATATCTTAAATAACCTATGGCTTGGCAATTTAAGGTCCATGGGTCATATCTGATTTTGAAGATATTTTATTTGGTTTCTAAAAGTTCCACCCAATTTAATTCAGGTGATAAAGATTTCATTCATTGAATGGACGGGAAGCATTACAAACTTGACTATTCCAATTTTTATTGTGGTTTTTGTGGGGTAATTAATATCAGCCACAAGTTGATTTATAGGTTTGGATCAGAATCTACCACACTGGTCTGAGCTGGAAGATAGAATTTATTTTTCAACTTCCCAGTCTAGGGCTGAGAGAGTACTTGGTCAAAATCATAAAAGCAGATTTTTTGTCTCAGGGAGGACTACAATCTGAATTTCCCCACTCTCCCCTTGTGTGAATGTGCATATATATCAATATCTGTCTATCTGTTTGTTATAATAGTCATTTATAACCTGGTGCTATCTGAATGAGATGGGTAGCATGTCTAACTGGTGCTGGGCTATGGAAGACAATGCCATGCTTTGCTTTATAATGCCAAACTTTTATGGAACGCTGATAGTTCTCTGATTCCTTATGCATTCAGTAATGAATGGCTCTCAGATTTAGAGAAATTGTCTATTCATGTATAAAATATTAAAGGAAGGATAAATGAGGTTAGAGGTGCAAGTCTTTTCTCTGTGCTGAAAAATATTATAGAAATGATTAACAATATAAAGCTGATTTATTTTGGTATATTTATTTATTGCAGACCTTTACTTTCCTGGATGCGGCTATAAATGCCAGTTGCCATGGAGAAGATCAAGGAACAGTTTTCTAGGCTTCAAATAGCAAAACGGTGTTCACTAACAGAAGACCCATCTTACTTATTGGACATAGATATTTCAAGAGGAGAAGGGAGCCATTTAGTGGCTGTTTCCTGCTCCAATAAATCAATCAGAGTTTACAACAGGGAGACACTGTCCTTGCTACAAGAATATAATAGCCATCCTGCATTGCTAAGTGGTGTCAGATTTGCACATACAAATGAAAATATATTATTTTCAGCTTGCAGTGATGGATCATTGAAGTGTTGGGATACTCGTTCATCTGTTGTGAAGCCTGTACTGCTGTTTTGTGGCTATCCTTCAAATGTTTTCATTAGCTGTGATATAAGCTGCAATGACCTCATAGTATGTGCTGGGACAGAAAAAGTGGAAGAAGATGCATTCATAACATTCTGGGATGCAAGAGGCTGCACAAATAGTGTCCCTTCCAGCAAACAGCCGCTAGGTGTCTATTCAGAGTCTCACAACGATGATGTTACTAAAGTATGTTTTCATCCCAACAAACCACATTTGCTTGCTTCAGGCTCAACTGATGGATTGGTAAATGTGTTTGATATTAACAAAGACAATGAAGAAAATGCTCTGATTTCTACTTGTAACTCTGATTCTTCTGTAAGTTTTATTGGATGGGCTGGAAAAGATTATTGGCAGATTTACTGCATGACACATGATGAAGGATTTTGTTATTGGGATCTTACTCAGCTGGATTCTGAAAAGTCAACTACATTATTGCATATTCCAGATGTCAGAGAAGTAGAAAATATCAAACTGGATTACTTAATTGGTGGTGTTTATCATGAAAAAGTGGACAAATTGTTTGTGGTTGGAGGGATGTCAACAGGAAGCATTTGTCTCATAGAGTGTTGTGCTCATGAGCTGAATTCTATGGGAATACTTCAAGGTGGACACTCTGCTACCGTTCGTTCCTTCTGCTGGGATATGGTTGATGATTCTCTATTTACGGGAGGAGAGGATGCAGAGTTGTTGCTATGGAAACCAGGAGCCATGGAAAACGCTTTGAATAAGAAGATTTCTATGAAAGTGGCATCCTCTGTCTATCAGCGAACAAAAGCTCATCAACATTCTTTGAAAAACAAGAAAAAAGTAAAGAAATGAAGAGGGAGTTCCATTTTTAATACTTCTAAGAGATGGCTGTGTGTGTGTCTGGTGTTGCAGCAGAAACAAAAAAAAATGAATTCTTTTAGGCAATTGAATGTGATAACTGTTGCGTAGACTAGAATCTACTTCATTGTACACAAAAATTTATGCTGAAATAAATTTCTTTCTATGGTGTAACAATAATATTCCTGCTTGTATGAATTGAATTTTCAAAAAGTTGTAGTAGTTTTAAAAGGATGAGTTTTCAAAACTTGGACACAGTTTATGCTTTCACCCTGAACATGATCTTCCAGTATAAGAAATGTATACAAAAATCTTTTACTTTATTATTTATTATTCATATATGGCGTAGGGTCTGGCTACCTATGAAACTGGCTTCAACTCATCACATCATTCCCACTCATTCAGGCAGGGAAGGCATGCCACAGACCCCGTCAGTCAAGGAAGAGGGCCTGGTTTTGCTGCTTCCCCGCTTTGTGGAACATCTTGCCCTCAATTTCTTGCCCTTTCACAAAGGGTCAAAATCTGGCTGTGTAGTCTTGTGAGGGACACAGGCCCACAGAGCCATGGGGTTGGTCGGCCCTATGAGAACCCCCCTGCCTATATTAACAACTATTAGTCTCCCCATCTTGGACTCTCCATCTTTTGTAATTTTATAATATTTTACATTGTTAAATATTTTAATCTTAAATTTTATGGTTTTTAATGTTTTATTATACTGATTAAATTGTACACTGCCCAGAGCCCCTCTGTGGGGGACATGGTTGGTTAAGAAGTTTGATGTGTAAATAAATAAATATTGCTACTTGTAGTTTCACTTGTATGTTTCATTGAACTGTATTTTTGCAAATCATTAGTATATTGATACATGCAGGGAGGTGGGACTTGAAGCAGTCTTGATCTGTGATTGTGAAGAAATTGCAGCAGAGTCTGCAGGCCATATTTGGGAAAATGAACTTAAAATTATATTCAATATTCTTAAAAAATGGATGTCAATACTGAGGAGAAAGAGAAGGAAAAATCTGCTTAAATAACCTGAAAAAGCAAACTATCCACATTACCTATCAAAAGAGATCAAATTAGAGAACAATCATGGTACTTGAGGACACCGAAAATGAGACATGGAATTAGTTTATATTACAATGTCCATTCCCAGGTTCTATAAAATTTTACCTTTATTCTGATTTGAAATAAATTTTGATTCAAGATGGTAAAGAATTTCATTTCTCTTTCTGAAAAAGAATTTAGAGTTGTCTATTTAGTATTAAGAGTGTTTTTCTTTGTTATTCAGTCATCCATATGGTGGAGGTTGGCAAATTGGTGCCCACAGCACCAGGGCCCATATCACCACTAGATGGCACCCACTATTCTATATTTTTTTAAATCTCGAGATAGCCAAGTTTTGCAAGACTATTCAGTGTTGTTATGTCAACTCTTATGAAATTTTGTTCATTTTTTTTCTATTTCCAAAGTTGAGTTTTTAAGATTGAGAACCTGCTTGCTATCTGATAAGGTGATTGAACCTTAATTTATACTGAACCACAAATATTTTGGGGAGGCTATTCTATTTTGTATACCTTTTGAAAGGCACTAACATTACATTAGGATTCACTTATTTGGAACTCCTCGCTTTAACCTGAGATGTCAGGAACAATCTAGAAAATGTTTATTTTGAGAGGAAGAATAGTTTTTGGTAGAAGGAGGAAAAGCCCTAATTCGCCAGAATGTTGACTTTACATTTCATATTAATTATTTTGTTTGTTATAAACTGCTCAGAATTATTGAGACTTGGAGGGAGCATACAAGATTCACAAATTATTACTATATATAAAAAGATGTGAAATCACAGCTGCCAATTCTTTAGCTGGTGTTCAAGTTCTTCCCAAGATCCTTGCATGTCAAAATGTATTGGTGTAGTATATGTGCGGATCCATATTTGTAACTGATAGGTGAAAATTTTGTCAATGTGCAGTTTTTCTAAGTGTCATCCAAGATTTTTTGGAATGGCAGCCGGTGAGCTGATAACCACAGGGATCACTATGGCCATTTTATGCCATAATCTTTCCATTTCGATTTTCAGATCTTGATATTCTGTAATATCCCCTGGTATTGCCACAATTATTCATATCTCCTTTTTTTCAACCACATATATCTAGTGTGTAAAGGGTCAAGAATTTATTCGTATGTATTTTGAAATCTTTGTGGGATTTTAATCTATTCATGTTTGACTATTTAAGTATATGTTCCTACTAATTTTTCATTATTGGTATGTGATAATTTTTACAGATGTTCCAGTGAATCATTTTGGCAACTTTATCATCATAATCATTATAATCAAGCTGAGTATATGATTTACTGTTTCTTCTGCTTCTTTGCACAATCTGCACTTTGAATCATTTCATGATTTTTCATTCCTGGTCTTGATTGCATCAGTTTGAATAACTTACTCTTGAGCAGCCAAAATCAAGTAGTCTAGTAGTCAAACATCTTGAACTAGATATGATCCAGTATTGACTACTGTCCCCTGGCGACCATGTATTGGCATTCCTCTAGTTTAGGTTTGAATTTAACTTTGGCCTCCTTTGAAACTGCCTTACTTGAGGACAGAAAGAATAAAAATTATTTCCCTACTTGAGGATAGAAAGAATAAAAGAATTTACCCTTATGGTTAGTTGTCCTGATTGTAAAGGAGTTTTAAAGGATTTGAAATTATTTGTTACCTATTTCAAGGAATGTGCTTCAGCATAATTGTGAGGGGAATCAGTTGATAAGGATTTATTTCCTTAAGGTTATGGTGTATATCTTCATAGAACTGGGCATATGGAATGTTACATATACTACTGCATGTAGTATATGTAGCATTATGTTACATATACTACTACTGATGTACTTTGCAAATGCTTGTCAAAAACAAGGAGATATCAGTGTCTACTTTTTCAACAAGAAAATATCTGATTTAATGTCTAAATAAATAAATGTGTAGTTGATTGTTCACTTTCTTTTGCAATTGAATGTGGAAAATATTCTCTCAAATTGGAAAGGGGTAAAAAAAATTAAAATACTGGAGAGCATGCCCATGTTATAATCACAAAGTAATTTTAAAATCATATGTAAATATTACCTCATTTCTATGGTGAAAATAGATTTGAGAAAATGCTGGGTCTATATGTTAATCAAAACATAAGAGTGCTTGGTAATACAAGAGCCATGGTTAGATCAAAGCTGATAGGAGAACATTGCACTGAAGCAAGTTTCTTAAATGTTGCTGACAGTTAAGAAATGTTTCCTTTTGCAGAGGAAGTCCTCTCCTGCCTCACTGCACTTTATTTCAGACAACTCTTTCTTTCTTTCTACATTTAATGGTTATTGCAACTATCACTCTGAGTCCACCCATAATTTTCAGCGCTCCTATTCTAAATGAGTCATGCCCTGAAAATATCCCTGAGAATAATTCACACAAGAATATACAACAAAATTGAAGAGCATCTAGGTCAGGGGTAGGCACCTTTGGCTCTTTTATGACTCGTGGACTTCAACTCCCAGAATTCCTGAGCCAGCACGGCTGGCTCAGGAATTCTGGGAGTTGAAGTCCACGAGTCATAAAAGAGCCAAGGTTGCCTACCCCTGGTCTAGGTAATACACAATTTGGTTTCTGAAACAATCTTGATACAAGAGATGCGCTATTCAGCATTCAAGTTCTTGTACAGCATTGCAGAGATGTCAGTCACAGTGTTTACATGTGCTTCATTGATTTTGAAAAAGCATTTGATAAAATAAGACACAGCAAACTATTAGAAATCCTGAAACAAGGGGGAGTAGATGACAAAGACATCCAAATCATAAAAAATCTGTACTGGCATCAGGTAGCAAATGTGAGACTAGGCCAAAAATACTCAGCTGATGCAGAAATAAGAAGAGGGGCCAGACAAGGATGTATTCTGTCTCCACTGTTGTTCAATATCTACTCTGAGTCAATCTTTAACGAGGCACTGGAGAACATCGATGCTGGCATCAAAGTAAACAATGTTTGGATCAACAATTTAAGATATGCTGACGATACAGTTCTGCTTGCCAGTAAGCATGAAGACCTTCAGCTCCTCATCAACAGAATCACAGAAAGATCTGAAAAATACGGCTTGAAGCTTACTACTTCAAAAACCAAGATCAGTCGTCAGCAAACAACCCGTTAATTTACCACCAATAAATTCAGAAGGAATACCATTAAAAAAAGTTGAAAGGATCACGCATCTCGATTCTAATTTACATGAAAGCTGGGACATGACCACTGAATAAAGACTAGGATAGAGAAAGCTCGAACAGCATTCTTCAAAATGAAAAAGGTCTGCAGTCACGACATAAGCCTAAGACTGAAAATCAGGCTTGTCAGATGCTATATTTTTTCTATCCTGCTCTATGGAGTAGAGAATTGGTCTCTGACAGAAGGCCACCTGAAGAAACTAGAAGCATTTGAAATGTGGATGTATAGGCGGCTGTTATGTATAAATTGGGTTGACAAGATCAGAAACGAGGTGATAAGCCGCCTGGGAAAGCAAAGGAAATCATCAAAACAATTAAAAAATGAAAATTAGAATATTTTGGATGTGTAATGCGACACCCAGAAAAATATGGCATACTCCATTTAATCCTCCAGGAAAAGATTGAAGGCAAACGAGGTCCAGGCAGAAGAAGAACATCGTGGCTTCAAAATCTAAGGGACTGGTTTGGACAAAACTCAGTAGTACTTTTTTGAGCGGCTGCTGATAAAAACAGGATTGCCAACATGATCGTCAACGTCCGATAACGGATATGGCACAAGAAGAAGAAGAATTCTAAATGGCAGTTGTCTATTGTTCATGAAGGGTGATAGCTGTAGCCACAAAAAGCCTTATTATATAGAAGTTTCTAATATAAAAAGTTCAGCTACAAGCAGCTATAGGAAACTGATTCTGAAGACTCTTATGTAGTTGTGAAACTATCTTACTGTTGCAGAACCACTAATAGAATATAGCTGGAAGGGAGCTACCTATAATATTATGAGGCTGTATCTGCAGATGTTTCTTTTCCAGAGCTTGTTTAGCAATAAATCATTCACAATAAGTCCAATCAAATCTTTACAAGCACTGCCCAATACAAATAGAAAATGAAAAATATTTTGGAATTATTCAAGTTGTTCATTTAATTTTTCATCCATTCACAGAAGAATGGATTAGCTAGTCATGAAGAGAATTGTCTCAGTATGCTGAGATTCTTGTTCAATTACTTATATTGGAGTGAAAGGTAAAAACGCCACTCCAAGAAAAGGAGCTTGACCCATTTAGTTTATTGTTCCTACCATAAGAATTATTCAATTCAAATTAAAAATCAATGCACTAGAAATTCTGACTAAGCTAGACATAAAGTTAATTGATTTGTAATATTTATATTTCACATTTTTCATCAGAGTCTTCATTTACTGATCACTTGTTCCATGACCACTTGAAGTCACAACAGCACTAAGAAAGAGCTTTACAACTGGTCGTTGAATTTGCAGTCTATTGTACCATATCCACAGTCATGCGATCACAATTTGGACACTTGGCAACCAGTGTGCATTTATGACAGTCACAGTATCCTGGGGTCATGATCATATTTGCAACTTCACAGCCAGCTTCTGACAAGTAAAGTCAGTGGGGAAGCTGGCAGGAAGGTGCAAGCACAATCACATGGTATACACTTAACAATCATGGATGACTTGCTTAATGACTGCAGCCAAAATTGGTATTGTAAGTCAGTGTGGTCACACGATCACT